ACATGTACTTTACTATGCCCATGAGAAATTTGAGTGCTGGATCATTGCTAAATTTAGACTAGTTTTCGATCATCGTTACTAAATTTAGACTAATACTCGACCATCATATCTAAATTTGGCAGTAAAAAAAATTTTTAGCCAAAATCACGTGAAACCCTTTTTTAAAAAAAATTTATTGCATTTTTGAACAAATCACGAAATCACAATTTTTTGAAATTCAAGCTTGTGACGCAGTAATAGGAGGTCTTTAGACCGAGCCAAACATATTATAACAATATGCCATCGCCGGATTAATCAAAAATAAATTTTTTTATATCAAAAAATTTTAAACGAATAATATGTAATAACGCTATATATAATATTGCTAATTAGTTATTTTTTTATTATTATTTCTTAAACCTTACATTTTGATTTTTTAGCAAGAATGATCTAAGCACCCATATCTGTTGTGTTCAGGCAAGTTATCATAACATTTAATCAATTTATCATTACATTCATATTCAAATTATTCACATTTACAATACAGCTAGTGGATGTCATTTTTAGATTTGATGGAAAAATCGATGAATAATTATTTAAATATGTTAGATTGAATGGTAAAATACAATAAGATGTTTAAAATTGATGGTTCATCGAAACCTTTTAAGCGTTGTTCTTTGGGATTGAATTTGACAGCTGCTAATCAACAGATCCTTGGTAGAATCCGGTATGTTTAATCATGGCCATGCAAGGGATACAGAGATACAATAATTACAAGAAAAAAAAAATGCTAACATATGTATTGTGAAATATTTTAGAGTATCGGCATGTTTTTTTTTATACATTAATATACATATTAATAATACTAGTGAGTATCACATAATTCAATGATAAAAAGAATGACATGGACAGATGATTAATTTTCTAAATAAAAATAAATTATTTATTATAATGTCGACTCCATATTGGACAATTGATAGAAAAACATTTCTGAATAAATCAACGAAAGCAATACGAATGAATTAGTTGATGAAAAGAAGAGTTGGCTATTTATTGCGACTGGGATATTGATCTGTAAAGTCACTTTAAAATCAGATCAACGTTAGGAATTTTGGATTACAACTATTCACGCATTATTATAATTATTCTTTTATTATTAATTATTAATTATCGAACAAAGGAAATCCAAGTTACGTATATTTATTATTCCTAAAATCAATTTGATTGACTAATTAGGTTGCGGGAATGCGAAATTTAATATATAAAAAAAGAGGGCTGAAAAATACTGGTCCTAAAAGGACTGATTAACATCCCTACTTTAAATGGGTATAGAAAATTAAAATTGTTGCACAAAATATTGAAACCTACAAGGAACCGTCCGTGTGCGACTTTTGATTCTTTATTTACGTTAAAAAAAAAATTATATAAAATTAATGACTGATTATTATTTTTCTAAAGCTGCAGCAATCGCTCAAAATGCAGCTAAATTATCAAAAAAAGTATCGGAAGGACTTGTAGAGAATGCACGTGAGTTTGGTTTGGAGGCTACTTCTTCTAATCATTATTTTGAGACCTCTGAAGAGAAAATGCGAGATATTAGACGTTTATTAGATTCAAGACACGATCGTGAAAAAATGGATGGATTGAAAAGGTTGATTGCAGTAAGTAAATATCATTAATAATGTTACCAATTAATTAATCAACTGGCATTAGTTACGCTAATATTAATCTGCTATTAATTGATTAATTAGTTAATATCGAAAGGGCGCGACCTGTCGGAATTCTTTCCTGATGTTGTAAAGAATGTTGCATCTCAAAATCTTGAAATTAGAAAATTAGTTTATATATATTTGCTTCGTTATGCTGAACAAGAGCCTGATCTTGCATTGTTGTCAATCAATACTTTTCAAAAAGATTTAACAGATCAAAATTTATTGATAAGAGCAATGGCATTAAGAGTAATGTCTGGTATTAGAGTACCAGTGATAAGTCCAATAGTATTATTGGCCATCAAAAAATGTGTAAATGATTTATCACCTTATGTTAGAAAAGCTGCTGCTCATGCGATTCCTAAATGCTACAGGTATTTATTTACAATGTATTGATTTTTATTTATTATTAATATTTATTTACTTATTTATATTATTATTGTTTAGTTTAGATCCTACACAAAAAGATGCTTTAGTTGAAATCATAACAACTCTTTTAAATGATAATTCAGCGTTTACATTAGGAAGTGTTATAATAGCTTTTGATGAAGTCTGTCCTGATAGATTTGATCTGATACATCCACATTTTCGAAAATTATGTCGAATGTTAATTGATGCAGATGAATGGGGCCAAATTGCTATCATGGGATTATTATTAAGATATGGAAGGACACAATTTTTAAATCCAAATCCAAACGTTAGTAATTATATATATATATATATATATATATGTATGTATGTATGTATGTATATTTGGTTTAAAATCTATAATTCAATAATTATTTATTGTGACAATTTTTAATATTCAGGGAATAAAATTTTCAG